AAAGTGACACTAAATTCTGGAATTGAATCATAAAAATAAATTCAATTACTCTAACTATTAACAATACTGGACCTTATTTGTGTATCTTTAAAGCTGTAGATTCTCTAATCATCTCTGAATTCATGCTGACACTGTTCTTCCTTCAGGAGGGTGGCTACTTTTGTTCCCCATGGTCCCTGAGGGTGTTGTAAAGTAATCACCGCTCCAAGCTCGCTCCCGGGATGAACTATAATCTCAATACAAATTAGTAAACTAAACATGAGATTGTAGTCCATCACGGGAGCAAGCTTGGAGTGGTGACTACTTTACAACACAGACAGGCACAATATGTGTATGTCCCGGTAGAGTTTAACAATGAAGTGCACGCTAAAAACCTTACTGGAGCAATAGCCAGGTACCAATATAGTACCTCAAGTGATGTGTTCCCCACAGGTGGCTGCAGCTTCTGTCGGTAATGTCACCGCTGAAGTTCCAGCAGTGAAACTGACAGTTGGGGCTGGAGCACAGCAATCACAGCGGGTCACCCATTCAGAAAACATCTTGTATGCTTTTCAAGGAATACAAGGCGCCCTGTGATTGGACGTGGGGAGATCAGGACGTTCATGTGCCCCTTGTCCAATCACAAAAAAAAGAAAACAAGACATTTGCTAAATGGGGAGAGCAAAGTGAGTGGCCCAATGTGATTGTTGCTTTCAGCCCTGACTGTCAATTTTGTCGCCGGAACTTCAACGGTGACATCACCGACAGAGGCTGTATGTGAAAAGAACAGTTTTCAAAAAAAGAACAAGCAGCCACCAGTGGGGCACGCATAATTAGAGGAACCTTATTGCTACTTAGCTAATGCACCAATAAAGTGTTTGCCGGCAGATTTAACTATATTTTGTCAGAGTAATTGTTTCTTTTTCATCACAATCAATTGAAGAAACATGATGAAAGATAAAACTAGTATTGTGACTTCTCTCAGAAGGGATATGGTGGTTTACATATAGGAATACATTTTGTGGTTTATGTGAGTATATATTAAAAATAACAATGGTGTGCCGAAACCCACAATTATCCGCAGTAATGGGAAACCCCTTTAAATTAGATGCATGAAAAAAAGACAAAACAAAAAAAGCACAGGAAGAATTAAGCATTTTTCGTAATATCATCATAGAATTGTTCTATTCCTGTTTACACAGCTGAAGTAAGAACAATAATCCCTCATAAAGGCATCATTGAAAGTAAAAATCAGATGACAACTAAATGCAATATGGAGTGTGTGTGTGTGTGTTTCAGGCAGGATGGAAGTGCTGCTAAAATAAACAGGGGGGGGTGGCACATAAGCAGCCAGACTTACAAGTGATTCCCACAGATGATGACCAGTGTGCAACAATCTGGTCACTTAAAGTGTAGCCAAACTGGGATAAAACCTATTTTATATGTTCTCATGCACATAGGATAACTTAAAGTGATATTAAATCAAAATATTTTAAGCCATTTCCAATGCTAATTAAATAACTTACAATGGATGCTGCTCCTTGATGTGTAAAAGTTTTAGATTTCTGAAGAATCAGCTGGTCACCTGAGCAATGGCCCTGGTATCCTCTTTCAGGGTGGCTCCTTTGCCTTCCAGGGTCCTACAGAGCCACCCTTGGGTGTGCCAGTAATCTATGTGTGTGTCTACACAAACACGCAGGCACAACAAGGCAAGTCACTCTCCTGCTTTTCCTTCGTCTCTACCCCCTTCTCCAAGCTACTAGATGCACAGTTGCCGGAGTCTGTCTTTTGTGCACTGGACAGAAGTTCAGGGAAGCCGAGCTGAGAGAGTAGGAGCCAGCTGTTCAGAGACATGATGGCTGTAAGTGCTTGGGCAAATATGTAAAGAAATACTTTGCTGGGCAATGCACATTTGTTTGATCTGGATTCATTATTTAAAAAGTTTAATGCTACTTTTTAAAATATGTCATTGCTACTTCCCATTTTTCTTGCTCTATTGTGAAAGAAATGTTTCTCGAAACTCTGGAAATGCAGTTCTGGACATGTAGATATGACCTAGGTTGTTGTACCTCTCGCCATTCCTGCCTATCTACATCCTATCTACACCTCTATCTATATTGCTTAGCCAACTTCTATACAGCTGTTGCCATACTTTTAGGAACAAAACCCATGTAAAAGACACCTAAATGTACTATGACCATTCTCCGAGTCATTTAACCATAACAAGTAGAAACCTAATTCATATTGTGTTTAAAAGAGCTGTAAATGTAACCTTGCTTTTGGCTTCACTTCTCTTATGGATCAAAGGAGTACATGTCAACTATCACCGCACAGCCATGCCAAAGTCGGGAAAATCCTGTCAATATTTTTGGACCCACTCCTGCTGCCTGACAGCTGGCTCTGCCTCTCTGCGTGCAGGTGAGAACCAAAGCCCCTACGCCCGATCCCTCCCTGGCCGGGGGGGGGGGACCAGTGACTGACAGCCATTGCTCTCTGCAGGGAGAAGAGATTGAAGCTAGCCATGCACCGTTACTAGAGGTGCACCGAAATGGAAATTTTTAAACCGAAACGAAACCGAAATAAAAAAAAATTGTCAATACCCGCTCTCCTCTCTGACACGCTGTCACAGGAGGCTGAGCGAGCGGTGTAGGGAGGAGAGCTCAGCCTCCTGTGACAGCGGGGCCTGTCTCTGCCCCCACACCGCTCTGCGGGACTGTGATAGGAGGCTGAGCAGTGTGGGAGGAGACGCGGGCTGCGCACAGCGCTCTCCTCCCGCAGCGCTCGGCCGACTATAACAGTTTCTTTCCTCCCCGCTGGGACACAGATCAGCGCCCAGCGGGGAGGAAAGAAAGCAGGGATGCGCCGACGTATCGGCAGGAAAATGGCACTTTCGGCATTATGCCAAAAGTGCCAATTTCGGCCGATATGTTTCGGCGGCCGATATATCGGTGCATCCCTAATGGTTACTATTATTAAATAAAACAGAATCTCCTGCTGTGTGCTTTGTATTTTGACAGGTATGCCGCTGTCATAATACCCGCACAGTGAGGGCAGCTGATTGGCTGCCCTCACTGTACATCATAAGATTTTCCATCAGGCTCCTTTTGATCTTCTGATCAAAGGATGTTGGGCAGAAGGGTGTCGACGTGTGCAGTCACGAAATTCACACAGTGTACGGCCAGCTTGAGAGTTGACTGATCAACAGTCATGTGATTGCTCAGCTGTTGGTATGGAGTTGACATGTGACAGCTGCAGTGTCCTATGCTGGCTCTAAGTATTGGTGAGCGTATATCTTACTCTCCCAATACTTCTCCTTTTGTGCGTTACAATGTAATAGCTAAAAACACATACACAAAAGTATACCAACCAGTCTAATGGCAAATCAGCTGGTCTAAGAACAGTGAGGACACTAGCTTGTCCATTTACCAAGTGATTTCAGCATACAGTAATGACCCGCCTACCAATATTTGAAACGTCAAGTCCTCTAAACTGGCATGCAAGATTTTCTTCAAGTGACACTAAACTCAGGAGTTTATTCTTAAAAAAGCATTCAAGTACCTTAACTATTAACAATTAGCAGCCACCCGTGGGGCACACATCATTAGAGGTAACATATTGGTAGCTGGCTATTTCCCCAGTAAGGTTTTTTGCCCACACTTCATCGTTAAACTCTACAGGGATATACACATATGGTCCCTGTGTGTGTTGTCAAGTAGCCACTGCTCCAAGCTGACTCTCATGATGGACTACAATCTGTATACAAACTAGTAAACTAAACATAAGACCGTAGTCCATCACAGGAGGGAGCTTTAAAACACACACAGGGACCATGGGAAACAAAAGTAGTTACCCTCGAGAAGGAAGGACAGTGTCCGCACTAATTCAGAGATGATTTCAGGATCTATAGCCGAGTGATACACAAATAAGATACATTTTTGTTATTAGTTAAGGTACTTGAATGCAGTTGAGTAGGGATGCACCGATACTATTATCGGTATCAATGCCAAGTATTTGGGCGAGTGCTTGTACTCGCCCAAATGCTCCGATGCCTGGCCCAATACTTATGCTTCCGGCATCAGGAAGCCGGGCAGTGAGTCATTGGCTGGGAAGCCGACTCCATGCTACTTCATCACCAGGTGACGAGGGAGCAGGAAGCTGGGGGGCGTGTAATGACACATTGCCTGGCTTCCTGATTGGCCGGGAAGCTGGCTCCATGCTCCCTAGTCACTCGTGACGAGGGAGCATGGAACCGGCTTCCCGGCCAATCAGGAAGCCGGGCAGCGGGTCATTACACGCCCCCCAGCTTCCTGCTCCCTCGTCACCTGGTGATGAAGTAGCATGGAGTCGGCTTCCCAGCCAATCAGGAAGCCGGGCAACGCATCATTACACGGTGCACGTTTTCCTGATTGGCTAGAAAGCCGGCTCCATGCGGTCTCGTCACCTGGTGACGAGGGAGCATGGAGATTGCTTCCTTGCTAATCGGGAAGCCGGGTAGCAAGTCTTTACACGCCGCCCGGCTTCCCAGCTAATCATAAAGCCAGGTGGCGAGTGATTACACGCCGCCTGGCTTCCTTCATAGGACGACGGTAATGGTATCCAAAAGTACCGGGGAAAAAAATATCAGTACTCAATACCAAAAACCGCTATCGGTGCAGCCCTAGTTTTAAGATTTAACTCCTGAGTTTAGTGTCACTTTAAAGCTAGGAGATTATTTCTAAATGTCTTTAGTATGAGACTTTACATCCAATGTCTATTATTATTTGCACTGGAATCAGAATTATTAATTTAATATGCTTTCAGTAGAATTGTGTGGCATGCTATAGAATTTTATGCAATCTTTGACTCCCCTGTAAATTGTAACAGACAAAAGAAGCAATAAACATGCCATAATATGTATATGATACAGGGATCCCTCTCGAGAAACACAAAATTGTAAACACAGTCACAGAGCAATGTTAAATATAACTCAGTAGCACTGGGACTTGTATACATCTTTTTCCAGCTGTCAGCCGCAGACTTACTGTCTGATCTTGTCATTCCTTGGTCCAAACTTAGGTGCAGAAGGTCCCCTCCTGGCAAGAAAGAATATTGAGTCAGTAACATATCAGGTGACTGCAGGTCCCAACATCCACAGCGAGTGTGTTGCAGTGTGGGGAAACAGCACACAAACACACAATAATAATAAGATTATGTATTTGTATGTTGTGTCCTGGATTCATATACCACTAACATATTGCACAGTACTTTACAGAGTACGCAAAGTAGCTTATGCTCATAGTACAAACTACATATCAGACAGAAGCCATTCAAACCCCTCCACCAATCAAAAAGTACATAGTGACAATGCTCTCAGGTGCTAGCTGGATTGCAATGTCATGTCCTACAAAGTTCCAGATACAGTGGGTATAGAAAATAATCACTCAAACAAAACAGATGCCCTTTAAAACTGTTAATACCTCCCCACTCCAAAGTATGTTAAGGGGTCTCTAAACCTCTACAGGTTGAATTAGACTACACGGGAATGTTTTCTTGCCTTTGATGCACACTGGTAATTTTGAAAAGAAAAAAAAAACATTTTTACCCCATGGATTGGTCTTAACTTTACAGCTTAGAATAAAAAACGTTTCCTAAAATAAGTTCATCCACGACTCTGACCCCTCTAATAACTATGGTCATGATACCTCCACTGAGCTTTACATTCCTATGTGCCTGCACCAAATTCAATGGGCTTTAACTCTTTTAAATGTATCATCCATTTTTGCCCCACGTTCTCTATTTTTTCTGCTCTTTTTGTCCCTCAGTTGTCATTTGGCTATTGCAGATATGGAACAAGGCAGTAATAGACGACGGGCACAGCTGGATTGTCTGTAGGTCTCTTTTGTTATGAGGTACTGTATAACACTTTGTTTTCGCATATAAGCAAAATCATTAACAGTAGATGGAGAACAATTGGTGACAATTTACCTGTAATTTGAGTCCACTTATTTGATATAAACGGGATCCTTCACTAAGGCCCCATTAACACCAAGGTGTTTTGTAGCTCGAAGCTATAAAATGCTTGATACAAGGAATCTCATTGTATTCTATTGCCCCTGTTCACACCTGAATGTCCTGCTGCTTATAGTAAAATCCTTGGAAAGTACATGAGCACATGTTCTTTTCAGGCACATTTGAGTGTTTTTGTACCTCACAGACCTCAATGGAAACCCCTTAAAATGCATGTCACAAGCATTTATAAACGCATTGGAGCATTACTGCATGATGCCACAGATGCTACTGCTTTCCAATGGGCCAAATAGAAAAAAAAGCCTAAAGCTGAATGCTTACAAAATGAGTCAAAAACCCATATTTTCGTGGATCAGAGCGTTTTTAAAAAACGCCAACACCTAGGTGTGAATAGGGCCCAGGGATAGGTTAGTTAAAGGTGGAAACAGGCTTTGGAAATTTGATAAAAGTAGGTTTTGTAAGAATTGTCACATTGCTGTCACATTACCGTGCTTGGATTGTGCCCAATGCAACAATGTTATGAAGGGAGATAAAATGTACTATTTGATATACGTGATTATTATACTTGTAATTCTGGCCAAATTTTTTTCCCCTCACCTTCCTTAAAGAGGAACTTTACCCATATCTTCATAATGACAACAAAAACACCTTTGGAAATGTTTGGCAATGACAATCTACAAACAGATACTTCTAGATAGTTGCCAGATTTTTATTATTTTCTATTCCCTTTTTTCTTTTCCTCACCATTCTTCTCACAGCTGCAATTTTTACTAACAGCAGATTAATATATCTCCCTTTACTTCCTGGAACTCTGGCACATATGACTAGGACATGTGACCATGTACATCAACTCAGGGGAGGAAAATACCTTTCCCTGAGATCTCATGAGATTACAGATCAGATTTCCCAGCAATGTACTGTGATGTAACCTTTCCAGGATTCAACACTTGGGCACAATACATCATTTGTACCCAAGTGGACCAGGAAGTTGAAAAAACTGTATGTAAACTAAAAATATGCTTGTTTAACTAATGAATGTAAAATGATTTCATGTCAGCATGGAGAGCTGCAAGTGGATGTGATTTTTAGTCAACGGGGATAAAGGTCCTCTTAATCTATAACTAGTGGCCACCTCCATTTTCTGTTTTTACTTTGGTTAAATTTTGCTGATCCTTTAAATGTTTACATGACGGTCCTAAATCTTGGACTGGACTAGACTACCTGTAAAGTTTATTCTTTAATTATCCCCAGGTTAGCCTCCACCTGATCAATTAGTTTCATATTGCCAAATTATGTTAGCAACTTCTAGATCTGCCTTTAGGCAGGGTGCACACTTGGGCGATCCCACGACTCGCTCCCCGAGACCGCACATTCGTGTGCGATTGCACACAGTGGTTGCCGCACGGCACCAATGATTTCAATGGGGGTTATATACACGTGGCAATCACTGAAAAAAGGTACCACGCTTTTTTTAGCCACGATCCTGCGCAATTGCACAGGTGGAATCATGACGAGAGACTGTGCGATCTGCCTGGCGCGACTGGAGTGCCATTAGAAAAAGAATGACACCGCCAGCTAAATCAGCTGTGGTGTGCGATTCCAGGACTGTGCGGCCATACGTGTAGTTTCGTGCACGGTTGCCGTGGTCATGGATCGCCCAGGTGTGAACCTGGCCTTAGTTCTACAATTTACGCCCTCATTTACACTGAGCGTTTTGTAGTGCTCAAAAAAAACCCTAAAACAAATGCCCCCCCC